TGCAGCTCGACCTGGAGTTCTCGCCTCATTTCAGCCTCCAGCCTGTCCCTTGCTCGCAGGGCCTCTTGAAAACTGGCCTGCAGACTCTGGGGAAGAAGTGATGGAGAAGAAATAAAGACAGAGCAGAACAGCAAGAAAACAGAGGAAGAGGGATAAAAGCGAATGGGGAGGACAGAGAAGGATGAATTGAAAAAGGGAGAGATGAACAGGTGATGAAGATATTGGGATGAAACCGGAAAGTGGGAGATGGAGAGATAGAGAGAACACAAGGAGACAGCGGGCGTTAGGGAGGGAGAGAAAGAAAAGGATGGATGATCAGTGTTGGCAGTGCAACTGTACTGGGCGTTTGAAGAGGAGAGTCATCTCTGAGTTTGGCTGCTGCTTGCTTTCCCTGGAGAGCAATTACACAAGCAATTACACCCTATTACAAAAGCTCTTCTCATTTCTCTGACACAATGGCAAAGCTTTGACTGCTACTGGCGTTGGAGTAGCAACCGGATCATTCATTAAATCTGACACTCGGATGCAACGAGGAGAGAAGTTGAGGATTATGCTGCTGCTGCTAGACAGGGGAAAAGAAGTTGAATTAGAAGCCGACTCTTTTTTATCAGAAAGTTTTAATCAAGTCCTAATAAAATCTCTCTGGACTGCTCCCCTGGAGACTGAAATATGGCTTTTTGAATTCCAGGAGACAGAGTGTTACAGTCTAATGTCTGTATTAATTACTTTTTTGACATGGTTCACTTGAGGATTACAAATATTCACCTCCTCTTGGAGTCTAAGGGCAGCGCGTTTCTCCTTCTCTTTCAACTGCTTAAATTCCTCCATGGTGGGGGCGTCAGGCTGCTCCCGTCCAATCGCAGGCCGTAAATTGACCGAGTTTGTGGCCAATTTTAGGTGGTCATCTGTTCTAGCATTGGGAGATGACCATGGACATAACTGTTCTCCTAGTTCTGAAAGAAGACATGGCTCAAGCATGAAAATCAATGGTTGAAACAGGTGGCAACTGATCGTAATCTTAAAAAATATATATGGCTGTTAAATAATATATGTTATAAATGAAAGATCTTATGCATCAGATGCACACAGGAAAGAAAAACCATAAATGTTATCTATAATATCTCACTCGTTTATCCTGGACACTGACAAGATTTAATGGAGAGCAAATGAAAACTTTGGTTTAAGTCTTTCCACATGTCCCTCCTGTGGAAAAAGACCCACATTTCTCCTTCTAGAGTTTCAGAAAAAAAAAAAACTTTCAAACTGTGCTCAGATTTGCCAAGATACCAAAGGCAGCAATGTAACAAGATCTTTCGAAATATTTCTCATCAAATTCTTCCAAGACTACAGTATGTAAGGATTTTTTGTCCACATTCATTTATAGTTATATATACACGTAATGCCAACAACTGTCATATTTGTGGCAACTTTTTATTTATTTTAAGTAATTTCAGGAGAAGCATCAGACACAGTTAATACATTAATGAAACATAACCAAAAACTTTATAGGGATAGTTCACCCAGGAATAAAAATAATGTCATGTCGTTCCAAACCTGAATGATTTTCTTTCTTCTGTGGAATATTAAAGAACACATTTATGAAAACTTTTTTTTTCATCCACACAAAGTCAGTGGGGTCAAGTGCTTTTTTGCTTTTGAACAACAAAGTCATGCAAGTTGAGGGAAGTTTAAGACTTTGAGCGAAATATATTTTCGAGTTCTGAAAGAGCAACTTCTAAGCAAGTAGACTTTCCTTGGGTGAGTATATATTTTTTTGTTTCTCTCAAATACATAATCTTTCTTCTTGTGCATGAACTCAAGTATAATTTTTGACATCTCTTTCGATATTTATTAGACAAAAGTCCAGTAGCAGACACTGCGGTAGTAAATGCCAGAGTCATTAGGCTGGACGTGGGGAGGTTGATGGCGCTGATTGCTCTGTGTTTTGCTATGGTTGTCCAAGGCAGAGAATGTTCTGTGCTGTCCTTCGGAAAAAATTCAGATTATACTACTGGAGGAGAACCTAGATGTGACCTGGTACATTCTAATGAAGGCTTGAAGAGACCATATGTTTGTGTAGTATTAAGGCTTCACTCACCCAGAATGTGTGTGTGGAGCACTCTCTGTGTGCTTAGAGTTGTCCTGTTCACCATCTTCTCAAGAAACCTTGTGTCCCACATTTCGTCTTCACAAACACTGCACCCTTGGTCCACACAGAAGCACCAGAGATTGGCTCTTAAAAACTTGCAATTTCCTGCCCTCTACCACGTCTCGTTCTCTTTCGGGATTTGTTTATTCTTTCAGCCTTTGACTTGCTGATGGTCGCTTAGCAACATGGACAACAAAACAACAGACTGTGCTGCTTAGCATTCAAGAATTATTTGATCCAAGAGATTTGAGACAAGATGCCTGCCAGCGTGTGTGTGTATGTGTGTTTGATTGTGTGGAAGTGTTTTATGAGCAGCCTCCCACTGCGCTAGTCATTTGAGATATTTTGCTTCAGGGTTCATGCTCATTTGTGGGTCACATTTTGTGCAACATGAAGAGCCCAAAATGGAATATAATGCCCAAAATGGAAGCTCACACATATTTTGAATCCAAAACATACGAGATGTAACAGAAATATTCTGGAACAATAAATTAAATAAAAAATCAATCGAAAAGCTAAAACGTACATTAAAAGAAACATTATTTTCAATAATAATAAATTAAAATATAATTAAATTTTTACATTTTCTAAAAACAATATAACTGTTGCATGCCCATGCAAAAGTTGCTGCCATGATGCTAGCTGTCCCTACGGCAAATACCCACTGGAGTGCCACAGGGCTCAGTACTTAAACCACTTTCATTCTCCCTTTACACCAAACCAGTTATCCTCACCTCTAACAACCAGGTATCCTCATGAATCACTGCATATCTGGTATTTATGCCTGGATGAATGCCCATCATGTGAAGCTGAATTTATCAAAAAAATGCTGTTCATTCCTTTGAAGAACAAACTTTGCCAAGACCTCATCATTCTCTCTTTTCGCCCACACAAAAAGCAAAGAACCTTATTACACTCAACAACTGCCTGTTATTTGCACCCACGTACAAGTCAAGTCACATTTATGCTTTATACAATACAGTTTCAAAGCAGCTTCACAGTAATAAACAGCAAAACAACAATGATAAACTTCTTTAAAAATGAAAAAAGCAGACAGTGTCATTATTGAGCGCAAGTCAGTTTAGTGTTGATTCAGTTCAGTTCAGTTCAGTAAAAAAAAAAAAAATTATATATATATATAT